CTGTCTGCTTGGTGAGTAACTGCTCAGGAGTTCAAAGGCAGCTGAGACCTGAGACCATAATTAAGCAAACACTTAGTCCAAACAACTCTTGTTTTATTTCAGCTCTGGGAATTATGTGCATTCCCAGCCAGTAATGAGTCCCAAGCCGTACCTTGAGATAAGCACTCACCTTATCTCCTTTGAATTGCTGCCAACAACTAAAGTAAATTAACTGTAAAAAACTAATCAAAGTACAAAGTCCACACAAAGCTTCCAAGGTTTAATCCAAACAGAGTGAATGACTTTGCTTCCTGTAAAGGTGTCTCTACCTTTGCACCTCCTTTATACCTTAGGGGAGGGGCAATCACCTCCAAGCCTTACTCCCAAGTCACCTCTTTTGTCTCAGCTGCTCTTGCCTTCTAGCAGCTCTGCATACACATGCACTGGGAACAGGCTCCCCTTGTTCCTCTGCCTTGCTGCTGCCAGACTCCAGAGGCCCAGAGTCAGCACACCACTCCCAGATGGTCCTGGCCCCATCTCTGCATAGGACACAAGACCCTCGTCCAAGTCCTTTCCAGACTCTTGGACTGGTCCCCGTTTTCCCCACTGTCCAATTCCACTGCCGTCTGCACAGAATGCCGGTGAACCACAACACTTCTCTCTTCCCATGTCCAGCACCATAACTGAAATTATCTCTTTTGCAACAATAATCTCAGTTGTAACAATTATTGGTTATGGATGGGTCAATTCACCTACCTTATTCTTCAAACCCAACACACTGCACAGAATCATAATTCAGATTGACAAGCTATAGATTCAGTACAGTTTGAACAGTTTCTCCCTGTCATCTCTTCAGTTTATCTTGATGAGATACTAAAAATCAGAGGACAAAACTAAAAGATCTCTTCCACTTTCTTCATCCTCTTAAGTAAAACATGTTCATTATTAAACCATGGCTGATTCATGTCTTGCTATAAACATATCCAGTATTACATAACATAGCATCACCATAAATGCCAAGGATTGTTTGACTTGATTGATCAAAATAATGGCCATAGGAGAAGATGGAGCAGATCTGAAGGTGTTGGAGCCTGATTTTCTCCAATTATTGTGTCCCAATTGCATCCTCATGTCTCTTTGGCAGTATCCATAGGTATGTTGAATTCTTTCCCTTTTATCATAGGCATCTTTTACAGATTATTGAAGTCCATAAAAGAAATAAGTTCAACCAGTTGAACGGCATTGCAAATGAGACATATTTAAGAGCCACAATGGACTGCTATAGTCATAGAGAAGATAAGTTTGCAAGAGTGTTCTGTTGTCTATACACTTGAAGGAGAAACCATATCTTGGTGCCCTGAAATGGGTGATGATTACATTCACTTTAAAAAGACATGGGGAGAAGGAGGGAGAATTGGGGAGATGTCAACAGGAAAAAGAATGCATGACTTACATCTGTGCAGGCATAGCTTGTTCTTCATACTGTGACAGCAAGACAGCTTTTCTGTATTTATTTACAGCAAAGCTTAATAATTAATGAACACTTATTATTATAGCTGCTCTAAAACCATATGGCATGCGGGATGTGAACAAATCTTTTGAGACAAAGCACTCAGTGGAAGCATGTTTTGATTTAGCTACTTTTTCTTAGAGCAGAAGGCGAGGTGCTTTCCCAGCATGGAGTGTTTACTTGCAAGTCTACATTTAAAAACACTTCTGTTCTGTTCTGCTCAGGCTCTTGCTTCAACAAATTGCTGGCAGGTATCAGCCAGATCTTACATCTATTGAACTTAGGAGAAGCAGTGAAGTCAGTGAGATGATAAAAAGTTTGAGATGGCATTTGCTCAGCTACTTAGCAGATGAAAGCCATGGCATATGTACCCTTTCCCCACTCTACACAGACTAGAAATAGCTACATTATTTAAGCGTATGGTTTAGGAAGACATAGTCAGTCCCAATAGGTTAGACCTATTATGGACATCTGGTAAGCAGTCAGATCATAAATTTATCAAAATGGAAACATGGAATGATCTCAGTCACTAGCTCTTGGATTAAGGAGGCCTATTCAGAAGCTAGAACATTGAAATGAGTAGTGAATTACTCTTGGGAGAATGTCGTGGCCCTGTTGGAGCCTGGGTCTGAGGAGGAAGAGAGATGGTGCTCCAAAATATATGTAACAGTGGCAAATGTAATATTGGAAAGGGGATTTAATAGGAGATAATATAAATTTAGATGAAATTTTGAATGATCAATGAAATGATATGAATAGAGAATATGTTGAATATAAGAATATATGATCAAGGAAGATAGAAATTGATTAAAAATAAAGAGACTGATATAAAGTAATTTTTGAGAATATAAAGAAGAAAACTTGGCACTGGGTAATGATGTAATGCTAGAAAGCTGTATTTGTGATTATGGATCAAAGATGTATCTAAATAATTAAAAAATAAAAAAACTTTTCTACAAAATAAAGGAGATGGAGTCGGTGCCAATGGAGAGGAGGGTGCACAGTCCCTATGACCCATGAGGAACAACCTGGGTATGAGAACGAGGCAGTCCTGAGCTGGATCCCTTGGGCCTTGGAAGAGTAGGCAGACAAGAAGAGAGGGTGCAGGTTGACTGAGGAAGTGGGAAGAGACGGAAAGAGGCAGGTGGGGAGTAGGGGTGGAGCTTGGAGATGAGCAAATGCTTACCTCATCCCCAAGTGTGGAGAGTGGAGAAGAGGCAAAGTTAGCACAGGGTGACCAGGGATGGGATTCAAATTTTTTAACAACCAGTTCTGTGGGAGTGGCATAGGTGGTGGGCGTGGCTTGGTGGTCATGTTATTTGCTGGGTGTGGCCAATTCAATATCACTCATATCGAGGTACGCATCTCCTCACCTGGCCTCTCATGACTGTAAGGATGCTGCAACAGTCGTAAGTGTGAAAAATGGTCATAAGTCATTTTTTTCAGTGCCACTGTAACTTTGAATGGTCACTCCACACAAGCAAGTACCAGCAAAGGAGGGGGAAAAAATTCCAGAGACGTTCCTGAGACAGGAAGTTTAGTTCTGCCAATAATGTAATAAGGGTTAATGGAGAGGCAGTTTCTGTAAGCAACACCAAAATGTTTCCTTCCTGCTTTCCTTACAGGATTAGGCCAGTAATTTCTTCTAACAAACGGTTCTCCAAACTGCTTAGAATGTTAACAACCAATTCTGGCGAATAGGTGCGAACTGGTAGAATCCCACCCCTGAGGGTGACCCAACTGCTCAGGGAGAGGGTACCCTGCCTCTCTTCCCAAGGATCACCTGGAGAGAAGCATTTAAGGAGACGCCATGGGGAGGGGTTTTCATTGCAAACAATTGTTGTATTTCTCAACATCACACTCCACAGCTCCAAGAAGAACCTTGCTCCAGAATCCTTGCTGGTGTGGACTGAGGTTTGATCCTTTGCTTTGACATTCATCATTAACTTTGCCAAGTTTGAGATCTAGTCTTGCGCCCAGAGCGGTGCTGCTTCTGTGGACTTTCACTGCCAGGAAGTTTCATGAAGCAGATGTGGGCACATGTGTTTGAGCCTTGCTTTTAGACTGTAAGGGTAACCTGGGGGCAGAGACTTTGGAGAACGGACCGGGAATTGCTGGATTGTGGGGATTGTGGGAGAAGATGATTAAATAAAAATTGTCAAGCTTCCACCTACCATGTGTTTATTGCGTGCCAACCCTGGGCCATAACAGAGAAAGGAGGAATTGGATTAGTAACAAGACTTTGCCTGACAAATGGGCAAATGTTTTTCACTTAAAAATGATATGCTGCTATAAAATTATTAGCTTATATATTGTAAAAAAAAACACCTATGTATTGTTTTTAAATTTACTGTGAGCTTTAAACATCTGCTTAGATGAGGCTCAAGGATTATCCTTTAGCTGTATGAAAGATGCGGTTGGTTTCATTCCCTATTTTACAAGTAGTCTTTGACTTACAACAGTTCATTTAGTGAACATTCAAAGTTACAACAGCACTGAAACTGACCACTGGCAACTGACTCATATTTATGATGGTTGCAATGTTATGTGATCTTCTTTTGCGAACTTCTGATAAGCAAAATCAACGGAGAAGCCAGATTCACTTAGCAATCGTGTCACTAACGTAACATCTACACTGATTCATTTAACAACTTTGGCAAAAAAGATAATATAATGGGGCAAAATTCACTTAACAAATGTCTCACTTAGTAGCAGAAGTGGTGGGCTCAATTGCAGTCATAAGTCGAGGACTATTGGTACTTAGTCTTAATTCAGGTTCAGCCTTCCTTGCTGTATTTTTTCTTGGTCTGTGAAATAAATGACAGGTCTTTGTGGGATTGAATTTGCACCATATTTGTTTGTTTGTTTGCTTGCTCAGTTTCTATGGCCGCCCATCTTGGTCAATGACTCTTTAGTTAGCTGTATTCTGTACTGAGGAAATAGCTTATATACAGCGACTAACATACAATATGTATAACATTGGGCTCAAGGTTGACTCAGCCTTCCAACCTTTCGAGGTGGGTAAAATAATTGTTGGGGGCAATAGGCTGACTCTGTAAACTGCTTAGGGAGGGCTGTAAAGCACTATAAAGTGGTATATAAATGCGTAGTGCTATTGCTATCTAAAGGAATGAAAGCCAACTCAAACCAGCATTGAGTTGCAACAAATTATGGTCAAGATGCAAATGAAATGAAAGAAACTGAATCGGCTGACAATGATTTGATAGACAGTCTGAAAAGTGACAGTAGGGTCAAGGAAAAAGTAGTAATCGTGCAATACAGCTTAGCACCATGTTGCAAAAGCTGTGTCTTCTTTTTCAGGACAATCTTTGGTTGGAAGCTATTTTCTATTTGCAGGCCATGTGAATGCAAAGAGATGAACTGCAAAGTTTATGATTCTTTATAGTTAGTCACACAAGCTGTTATGAATTAAAGGAGAAAACTTGAAGATGCAATCCACAGCTTTGGTCATGCCAAGTTAATAGAACAGCTTCCGGTTATGTCTTTCCAGGAATTTGCTGATTCCGTGTACCAAATAATTGCAGAGAAATTTCAGGAGGTGACGGATAACTTTGGTGCCCTCCATGCATGTCACAGATCCCTTGCAGGAATTGTAATGACCAGAGGTAAGCCTCCAATTTTCTTGCTTTTTGCTTAGCCTACAGTTTTATTTATTCTAAGAAAAGCCCGTCTATAGTTACTTGAATATAGATAATATCGGTATGTGCCCCAGTATTACCTGCACTTAGTAATTAAAAGGGTGTGTGATGGTGACGCTATTCTGAAATTTAGCTACAACATTAAGTTCACCTGCCTGAATCTACAGTAAGGTATGAAGCCTTTATGTTGAACTCTCCCAAGCTGCTTTGAGCTTCGCATAATGCAGCAGATAATGTGCTTTAAATAAGCATATAAATAAAGCATATAAGCACTTCATCCTTTTTACAACGTTATGGTGAAGATAAAGGCCCATTTCAGAGGAATGATAGGATGCAAATGTCTTCCTTTTCCAGTCATTAAAGCAGCCACATTAAAGATGCACTTGTGTGCATCTGCTTCAAAAGCTGTTCCAGTTTGCCTGTTCATGTGCATATAACTCCACCTGTGGAACTGCTACTAAAGCAAAGGAGCTGTACATACACACCAGAGGTGATATTCAGCCGATTCTGACCAGTTCTGGAGAACCGATAGCGGAAATTTTCAGTAGTTTGGAGAACCGGCAAATGCCACCTCTGACTAGAGATTTTACAGTATCCTTTCCCTGCCACGCCCACCATAAAACTGGTAATAAAAAAAAAATCTGAATCCCACCACATGTGTAGACTGTGGGAATGATTTTCAAAACAGCCATACAGACCCTGCAAAAGCTGTATATAAAAGCTGTTCCAATGATTGAAAGAGGAGTTTCCTGCAGGCTAATACATATTGTATCTTTTTTTAAACAAAATAACCCAAAACAATTTTCCTTGGTGCATAAATTAGTCAGGGTGTCAGCTGCAAAAAAAATCAGGATTATTTGTAAAGTTGCAACATAGAAGTGTTTAATAGACAGTTTATAAAATAGGAAGTTTATCTCTGACATCTACCCTAAATAATCATCCTTGTAATTTCAACCTATTAATTCCAGTTAATACTCTGGGACAATAGAGAACAAATCCACACCATCTTCTTTCCAAATCCTTTAATTCTTAGGGTTTCTATGTGTACGGATAGTTCTCGACTTACAACAATTCATTTAGTGACTGTTTGAAGTTACAACGGACCCGAAAAAAATGATTTATGATTGTTTTTCACAGTTACAACCATTGTAGCAACCCCCTGGTCATGTGATCAAAATTCAGATTGCTTGGCAACTGACTTATATTTATGACGCTTGCAGTGTCCCAAGTTTTTTAACTTTCTGATGATCAAAGTTAATGGAGAAGCCAGGTTCATTTAACAATCTTGTTACCAACATAACAACTGTGGTGATGCATTTAACAATTGTGGCTAAGAAAGCTTGTCAAATGGGGAAAACTCATTTAACAAATGTCTTGCTTAACAACGCAAATTTTGAGCTCGACAGTGGTTATAAGTCAAGGACTACCTGTATTCACATTCACACATCCGTAGACATTTTTTACCTAACAACCAAACTGTTATTCCTATAATTATTCCAATTTATTTCATTTACATATTCTGCTAGAGAAATATCATCTCATAGCAATTATATTCGAGTACAGAAAGCTGCTGGTAGGAATAATTGATCTTTCCCTTATATATGTTTTATTGAATACTACGACAATAGGGATATTACCTTAACATCTATTCTACATGCAAACAGAAATATAGTCTTTAACATATTAGCTAACAAAGACTATCATTGGGACTGTGCTACAGCATAGCACTTTGGGGTGTCGGCAGAGTATTAAAAAGAGTAGACCTCCATAGGGATCAAAGCTTCACCACTTTTTATGTGCAGCAAACATTAAGAAATTTTGCATTTTGATCACATCATTGTGATTGTCATCTTGATTTTTTTTTTAACCATATCCTGCAGATATCTCTGATAGAACTATGAGTCTAATTTCCTATCTTTTATTATGGCCTTTCAACATTTTAAGAATGGTATAATTCATTATGCCCCAGAATTGCATAGATGAAATGTAGAAGCATGTTCTAATTCCAGCTGTTTTTTTCCTCCCTTTCCTACATAAAGTTTGATTTCAGCTCTGAATAGAGTATAAAGGCTTGAATTAGTGTATTAAATGTAGAATCTAACCTCGTATGCATATGTTTAGAGTTTGACAGACAATTTTTCAGAGAAAGCAGGAGGTATCCAATGCATATTCAGAGGAGCTTGCTAAATTATCTGGAACAAACTGGCATTATGCTGTAGATTTAGGCTATATTATATGTTAAATGCTAGCGGCTCCAACTAGATCACTAGACAGAAGTGAACCCTAATAAACCAACGATCCTATTCCTCCATGTGGTATTCCTTTGGTACTTGAGAATTCAGCTCAAGAATGCAGGGAAAACTAGCTGAGTTATCTTGAGCCACATTTTGGTTTAGGAAAAACCAGTTCTAAATAATCATTCCAGGATAGGAAATCACAGAATAGTGAGAACCTTCACGATATATCTAGGCAAATACTGAGGTCCTCGCTGAAGAAGGTTCTTCTAGGGAAAATGACAGGTCATCATTCAGGTCAACATATTTAAGCACAGAAAAAAGGCAAAACCAATCCCCCCTAGAAGGGAGGTCCCCTATCTGGCTTTTTGTTCACCTGTAAAATCACCCAATTTATAGGAAAAGCAGTACTGTTAGTGACTGGAAGGTGAAGAGTGTTCAGTTATAGGAGAGATCACCTTATGTTGCACTCTCCTAAAACTGTATGCTAATGAACAGTTTGGTTCATCCTGGTGTGTTCACAGCTTAAATAGCTTAATGTGTCTTAGCAGAGAGTTATTCATTCATTCATTCATTCACTCCATTCATTGGCTTATTCCTGCAGGAACTGAAAAGACATCCAGTGGTTCATGCAACAAAGCTGTAGGCTTCAGTGTGAAAGTCTACTTGAGAGCAGCTCATATCTGAAAATTCTCTTGAACTTGTTAGAATAAGCAGCTATTCTTCTGATTGAACCTTGACTGACTAAATTCTCTAATCTCCTGATTCTTTGTGCCTTGTGATCTAACTCTGAGACTTTGAGGAGGCCTTTGACTAACTGACTTTGGCTCTTGATTGACTTGCTGGTTATACATTGATGTGTCTCCTTAATTGCAAGGACCCCTTTTTTGTGATTCTGGGTGGTTTACAAAAAAAAAACCCAGGAAACCATAGCTAAAATTAAAAAGTCTGCTGTTGATTCTCCCATTTGTCAAGCTTGACCTGGAGTAGGATAGTTGTAATAATATTTGTTGATAGGAGATCCGTAGGTAGATTCCCAAGTGACAGCCTGCTCCAGAAGTTCATTGAAAGTGCATCTCTGCACACGGGAAAGAGGGACTGATTCTCCATCCATGGATCATTCACCATTCCAAAAATTCTCATATGCATTGTAGTGGGAAATAGGCATGTAGAACTTAATAAAGAGTGAGAGATAGAAAAGAAATGAGCACTATGCAATGCTTTGGTTTCACCCACATCAGATCAAACTCTGACCTTTGCTAGTTATGGGCCCAATTTATTGTCAGTGAATTGCAGTTTAGAATTCAATTATTAGAAAAAAAAATTTAAAAAACAATGCTGGAATACCACTTTTCCTCTTAACTGGCAATTACTGGACAGAACAAAGAATTGCAATCGTTCATTATGTTGCTCATCTTATTATTTTCAAATAATAATAAGAGTAAAAACACTTCCACACTTAACTTGGATAAAAGATGGTAGGTATTTAAATACTGTTTTTCCTATTTAAAGGTGATGCATCTGGACAGTTAACAATGGATAGAAATGTTTTCCGTCTTCTTTTCTTTTCAAATGCATAATCTAAGAAATGTAGTCATCTTTAGAGGAGAAAGCAAGGATGCCTACAGAAGAGTGTTATACCCTATTTCTTTTCTTTGCATCAGAGTTCTTTCTCTCTCTCTTTTTTTTTTTTTTTTTTTGCAGGCTCTCTCTCTTTCTCTCTTTTTATGAACCTGACAATCACTTTGATCTTAAAAGCAAGCAGGGATGCCTTTTCTATTACCTTATATGAAATAAAGATGAAGTGGACGAAAGGGGCTCTAAACAGCAATTTCATGCTGTGATAAAAGTTGGAAAATTAGAGCCCATATTGCTTGAAATGGATCTTAATCATCACTAAGTGGGGTAGCTGGAGAAAAGTAAAAGTTGACAATCTGTCTCCATGGATCCTTCTAGTGGTTTTAAGATTTAGAATGCATGACACCTAAAAGGAATAAGGAATATTAATGGGCAATCTACTTCTGGCCCTTAGTGGGAAGCTGGTAAAATATGTTTGCAGAATGATGCAATAGTCTATCAGTTTAAGGATCCAACCAAGATACCTTTCAAATAAAATCAATTACACAGCTAGACTTCTTTCACTAATAATAATAATACTTTATTGTCATTGTACGTATATACACAGTATACACATACAACAAAATTCACATAATATCCAGAGACCAGACCCCAACATGCACACACCAAAATTCCCCATCCCCTAAAAACACACAAGCATCCACACAACAGACCAAGTAATACTGTCCAACAGCTCACTGATGATGGTCCTTAAGTTCATTGTTAAGTGCAATTATGGCTCTGGGATAAAAACCTATTCAGAAAACGTGCGGTCCAAGTTTTAATTGTTTTGTATCTTCTGCCAGAAGGCAATAGTTCGCAAAAATTGTAAGCAGGATGGGAAGAGTCTCTGAGAATGTTGTGCGACTTCCTCACACTAGATGGTGGCCATCTTTCAAGAATGCTTTAATCTGGATTCTTATACTGAGCAGACAGTGTGGGGCTAATGGCAAAAATGACTCCTTCCAATTTGATAATTCTTTGAACCATCATTTTATTTATTTATTTATTTATTTGATTTGCCAATTGTTTACAAGATAATAAGTATAAGCGTATACATAGTTGTGAATACATGAAATGGGTACATATAAGAAAAATAAAAGAATAAGAGAAACA